AAAAAAAAAAAAAAAAAAAATAGGACAGAGCGGTCGGGTTCACGGTTTTGCGAGATTACACACGCAACGCGCTCTCATTGGAGATTTTCCTCGGTCGAAATTGAATTAAAGGAATCCGATTTCCATAAAATTGACCGCATTAAATATATGCACGGCGTGCTGGCAAAGTGCTCGAAACAGACGCGAGCAGCGGTGTGCTCCCCTTGTCTCACGATCCTATTGACGAAAGCTCGTTAATGCCTTTCGCGCAGTATAAATACGTTGTTTCATTCGCAGCCAGCGAGCAACGGAGGGAACGGAGATTTAAACAGCAACGAACGTTTCCGTTTTAATAGACCGTAACATTTTAATGCAGAGGATCCTTGGCAGCCTGGAGGCATTGTTCCACGTTGGAAGTTAATTCGTTTCAAAAACGAGAAAACACAAACACGGATCGTTTCTTTTATAACGTTTGGGATAAGAATCGCTCTTTGTTCCCTTAATCCTCGTCCTTTTTATACCGTTTACTCGAAGTCACGTAACTTATTCACAGACAGAAGTGCTCGTTTCAGATACGGAGAATTGTATGAATTTTTGCACGAATCACGGAGGAATCGAGTTTATTACAAAGTAATAAATTTTTAAATAGAAATTTAGAGCCGGGTGAAAGAAGACCCCCGCTGGAAAATCACGTGCGCGACGAGTGCCTTTCAGACGTATGGAAATCACGATTTTCCAATTTTACGCGAGCAACTTCGCGCCTCTTTGCAAGGGAAAATGTTGAATACGAGAACGAAAGGCGATTAATGTCGCGTGACTTGACGTCTTTTCGCGGATTTGCCTGCAAATCCGGCGTTTAAGGTTTCGTTTATCTTCGTTCCGCACTTTATCCGCGAGCTTTCAACAGTACGACTAGTACAAAATATATTATCGAACGCACGAAAGTCTGTCTCGATTTAATTAACGATCAAAGAACGAGAGAACAATGCGAATGGTGTAATGGCAAAATCGAACTCGTTAATGT